CCTTCTTCCATGCTGACATTTATCAGGAGCTTGGCTGTTAGTTGTAAAAGAGAGACACTTATTGACACCCAGATGAGGTCATTTAGTGCTTAGTACAAGGGCCGTTGTTGGCAACAGGCACCCCCCTTCCCCTTTACCCTCTTTCCCCCATGACTGAAGTAGGTAAACACTAAAAAATGTCCTCTGTTTCTGAGGCCCTGGCTTTAGACTTTTTTGTATGAGATATAAATTATACATTTTACACTTCTTCCAGTTGCTTTGATTTATGCACCTTGCAAAATATAACTACCTCTTGCACCACCTTTTTATCATTAACATTCGCACCTTGTGTGGTTCATTTGGGTAGATGCCAGAATAACCAGATCACATTATTATTTAGAGCAAAATATAGCACCAGGAATAAAAGAAAACAAAAACAAAAACTGCTGTTCCCTAGCTCCTAGGTAGGGATCCTACAAAACATGGTCTCTGGCTACCAGTCAATAATGTAGAGAGTCAATTTCCAATCAGGAGTGAGATGAGAGAATCTAAAGGGCAGCTCTTGTGCACACAGAGAACTTTCCATATTTAAACCGGAGAATAGAAAACAAGCAGACGTTATTGCCCATAGCAACCAAGTAAATATCTCAAGCTTATTTGCTTAAACCAGCATGCAATAGACAAGGTTGCCACCTTTTCCAGGAAAATACTGGCCTTATATGTATCTCAAATATAACATTGACAATAGCGATGAGTAAACTTCTAAAAAGTTCAATCCATTGAAGTTTGTCCAAAATTAAAAAATGTGCAAACCTTTAAAATTTGGATTTTCCAAACTGGAGGTTGGCAAAGTCAATGGGGATCTTAGCCAGAAAAGTGTGTATTACAAAGCATCAAATTGTACAAAAATGTGCAGAATGGTCTAGGAAGCTCCTGGTAGCCCTCTTTGACACAATGATGAGACAAAAAAAACAGCCAATCTAAAAACTTTAGCCAGCTTCTCTTTGGATTGCAGTTGCTATGGTGCTGCACATGTGCTCAGCTACGACACCAGCCATGTAAGAGCATGAAAGTTCAGTTGACATAAGTACACTGGCAGCCTTTACATATGGCATGCCTTGAAAGTGTAGCCCCCTTGACCTAAGTGGGGTGACTACCTACATTTAGTTTGCTGAGACTGCATTCAGTCTGTCTGATTGTATAGTTTATATTCATTTGGTTTTCCATAAGGATTCTGTTTGATTGCATCTGCCTGCTGCTGGGTGTAATTGCCACAGAGCAGAGCAACCAATAGTGGAATGTTATGGATCTATGTGTCTCATCAGCCTATCACTAGGGGTTTCATGGCCAGTGGTGCATGCTGATAAAATACATAAATACCGGGGTCTGACCATATGAGAGCCTCTTTCTCCCAGGAGGCCCGGTGGAGATGGGAGGTGCGTTATGTATGAGCTGCCTGACTAGGCCTGAAGCCTGCAGGTGGCCAGGTGTGGACCCAGTCAGGGTCAGAAATTATTCCTGAGACGAAGAGCCAGGGAGGAACTTTGACTGCTGGAGGTACCTGGAGAAGCCAGGTTGGGTTGGACCTCAGAGAGAGGTCTGGTGTCTTCCCCAGGGGAGATCTCAAAATGTCTGCCAAGCAGTTATTGAACAACACAGCATCACTGCATTCTTGGTCTAAAGGCCCCCTACACTGTGAAAATGGAGGGTATTTGGTGAGTAGGGAGCTCTGTATTCCTCAGATGTCTGCAGCCCTAACTCTCTCTCCCTGTTTTGTCATTTATTGAATAAAGCATTATAAAATCCTTAAAGTGACTGGTTCCCAAATGCAATTTATACATCCCACAATCTAGCTAAGGACTTATCCTTGAGGGGAAATGTCAGCCCCACCCTGCCCCTAGAATCCAGGGGCATGCTACATAAGTAACTGCCTTGAGGTGCAGCTTGGCTAAAGATACAGATCGAGACCACCGGAGCTTTGCGGGATATTGTGCCTTCAAAGAAGAGCCATTGACTATTACTTTTATTATCTTTAGTTGGACCCCCACAATGCATTTTATATTTAGTCGAAAAAAAAAGCGAGTCCCTGACTGGACATTCCATTATTGGGCATGCTCGGATGCGTGTGATGCCATGTGAGACATAAAGGGTTCATGTATCCCTAAGGAGATAGAGCACAATGAGGGCAGGTACACTGGTATCTTCCAGTGGTGATGGACAGAGCATGGAGTATTCCACTGCTGTGATGTTATAATAGAAAAGTTCTGCACAGACACAGGCGAACCAGGTGAGCCACTGAGGGACCGTGTAGGTTGCTGCTCCTTTAGGACGTGCACAACCGGAGAGACGCAGAGGTCCTAATGTGCAGTCAAGTTTCTCCAGCTACAGGAAGAGATGACCCACGTGTTGTGGTAGACCCCCTGCTGGCACTATATACTTCCTCAAATGCCAGTGACATAGTGGAGCTGCGCGTACACTTCCAAAACTAACCTGCCCCCACCACTGACCAGAAAAGGACTAGAAGGAATGGCGTATTGTCACTTGACAACACCGTGAAGGCTAATAAAAAAAGTAAAAAATAATTGCTAGTTTGCTCAGTAGATAATGTTAACTTTATTAGCATGTGTCTATGCTGTTTGGCACTTACATCTACCATAAAAAATAAATAATCTATAACCAGTTGTTGAACCCTATTATTGCCCTTCGCGCCATCTTATAAAAGTAAGTTGCCATTTGTCATGTGCGGCAGCCAATCATGGATCTGTTTTCTCTAAAATGATGAAGCATTGATGGTTTCTTATTGGTTGCTTGAGGTTGTTACGCCATGCAGATCAATGCTGCTCCACATACCACCTTTCTGAATGGGGCGTTTGTCTGCAGCCGGTGAATTTGGACCCCTTTTGTGCTTCCCTGTCACTGCAGTGCCCTCCAGTCTGACTGGGATGACGGGAAGAGCAGTGGGATTCAGTGGGACTCAGTGCAGGAGAAAACAAACAGAAGGAAAGGCACGGACATTGAGCAATCAATGGTGGCTGAAGAGTAGGGAAGTAAGACAGAGCTCACTTCATCTCCTAAAGCTGCGTAGCTGAATGAGAAGGGAGAGGGGAAAAAAACCACTGACTGTGAATTAGCAGCCCAGTTCTGATTGTATCAGCAATCTTTGAAGATATTCTATAATTGAAAATCACTGCCAACATTTCCCTGTCAATAGTCTTGGACACCGGCTCCAAAGTGAGCAAGATTTACACTGTTGCTGTAATTAAATTAAAAATACAGCTATCTCCTGACCCGACGACTGCTGCATCTGGATATGAGATGCTGGGCTGGCATTAATATGATCCTGGTGTATACAGGTGCAGCATTACAACACATTGCTTATCCCCACTGGCTGCTATTATTCAATGCATAGGCGTTTTGCCACAGCCCAGGTCTTTGGCGTGGACTGGGGAAAAAAAGAGGCAGCAGGATAAGCAAATTATGTTAATTTTTGTATCGGCGCCGCATGCTCGTGGGGGTGC